CAGCCCCTGCCCTGGGCCAGCCACAGGGTTGCCAACCCCAAGTGTTCGCAACCCAGGAGTTCCCCTCCCCCCCCCCTAAAAACCCACGAGCTTGGCTTAAAAGCCCGAGTGTTTATGCCAGGAAAAGCTTTGCCCGGTTCGTCACCCTCGGGTGGTAGAGCGGGTAGGAGTCGAGGGATCCAGGGCTCCTCTGCAGCCAGGAAGGCTGGAAATGGACCTGATGCCGCATCACGCACGGATGGGGGAAAAATAAATCAGAGGGCATGTTGCCATCAGTCGCTGCCCCTTAGACGTTTCCTTCGCGTCCCCCCGCTGTGATAGGCGTCAGGTTTTAAACACACTTTTACCCAGAGCCTCTACAGCAGGCATGTCCAAAGTCCGGCCCGCGGGCCAATTGCGGCCCGTGTTCCGGTTTAATACGGCCCCCCAGGTAATTTGGCAATATCTATCTTTTATGGCCCCCAATGAATCCATATGTATTGAGATGAATACATTGTAAAATCTCAGTTACTGTCAGTTGGTCTAAATCAGTTATAAATATATTTGGACACAACATGTATACTTGGTGTTATGTTCCTGTTCATATTTTTTGACAGACAACCTTTATTACCAATAATATGTAATGTACTTTACAATGTTCCTGACATATCTTTCAGCTTCCTGGATTTTTTTTTCATCTGGCCTTCAGATATGAAAGGCAGAGTGATTTAACACCTGTTTAGATTTGTCATCCATGTGACGAAATAAAAAGTATTCCGTTTGCAATAAACTTTGCATAAAATAGTTAATTTGCATTTAATTTTAATGGTTCAAAGAATGTCAGGCAAAATGGTCGGCCCTCACGCATGTTCACTTCATCAAATCTGGCCCTCTTTGAAAAAAGTTTGGACACGCCTGCTCTACAGGGCACCTAACTCCTATGGGGAAGATCTGGGGGTGTCGCTCTTGGTCCTATGAAGGAGGTGCCATTTAAGCTGTGTTAAAACCACCTACATGTCTGCCAGGCATCACTCCTAGAAGGAAACTTGACCCCAGTCCCCAGGCCTGTCAGTCTCATTTGGAGGGTCTCGCTATCCTGGCTGAGAGATGGAAATTGGTACTGACTACAAAGGGGATTCTTTATTGAGGCTGATGGATCTGACAGGACTAATCATACAAAAACGCAAACGCCCTTGCACATTAAAACCACCTACATGTCTGCCAGGCATCACTCCTAGAAGGAAACTTGACCCCAGTCCCCAGGCCTGTCAGTCTCATTTGGAGGGTCTCGCTATCCTGGCTGAGAGATGGAAATTGGTACTGACTACAAAGGGGATTCTTTATTGAGGCTGATGGATCTGACAGGACTAATCATACAAAAACGCAAACGCCCTTGCACACACTCGCCCCCACCCACTGAGCCTTTTTAAATCACTCAGGCAGGCTGGAGGAGCCTGAGGCTCTTCTTTTCCTTCCCTTTCTCTGCTCCATCCTCTGAGGAAAAGCATCTCTTCAAAGACACTTGTAATATGCCCCATGCAAGTTTCGGGTCAGCTGAGTTGCAAATGGTGATAGGCACTTATGAAATGTGAGTAATTTTATAGCACTGTTTAACAAAAAAAGAATTATTCCTAAATAAAATGTGGAAGCTTTCCATGAGCTATGTGTGGTGTTTTTTGGGGGTTAACTGTAGCCAGATGCTGAGGTGTAAGGTGTTAACAGTTTGAGAGCCTGCAGGTTCTCTTAGCTTTCATACTGTCTCTCATTGCTGTATTGTTTCACCATCAGGGCTTTGATAGTCCACAGGCTAGAAACAAGAAAAACTGGTTTATGCAGATCTGGATTATGCAGTGTTGGAAATATTCCATCAAAGATGCTTGTATTCATGAGATTTTGATACCGTCTCCCACAGTATCCTTGTCTGCAAGTTAAAAAAGTATGGACTGGATAAATGAACTGTAAGGTGGATATAAAGCTGGCTAGTTCATCGGGCTCAACCACACCCCAGCACAATTCTAGCCACTGCTTTAACCGGCCTGGTGCTGCATGCCTAAGGGTACGTCTGCACTGCGGAGCTATTTCGGGATACCAGAAGTATCCCAAAATAGCTATTCTGCATCTATTGAAGCACCCATTATTTCAAAATAGATTTTGAAATAATGGGCAGCTTATTCTGATGTCCCCGTAAACCCTCATTCCATAAGGGTTAAGGGGAATTGCGGAATAGTGAGTTATTTCAAAATACACTCGAAATATACTACACAATTTGCATAGTGCAAATTGCTTAGCTTATTTTGAGCTCAGGGTGCTGTGTAGATGCACCTAAGGGTCCTGCTGGGCCGTGGGCTAGTTGTGGCCCACAAGCCATATTTTGCCTGCTCCTGCACTAAATACTAGATCAGTGGTCCCCAACCTTTTGGAGCTGCTAGGCACCCCGGGGTGGGGCCATTCGCATGCCCGGGGGCAGGGCCGCACATGCGCCACGTGCCCAGGGGTGATGACCCCTTGCACCGCGTGTCTGGGGGCGGGGCCACCAATTTGCTGCATGCCCGGGGCCAACGCCCCCCCATGTGCCATGTGTCCAGGTGCGGGGCCGCACATTCGCCCTGCGCCCAGGGCCGCACATTCGCCATGCACCCGGGGCTGGCGCCCCTCATAGCTATGTGTCCGGGAACGGGGCTGCCCATGCACGCGGGGCTGGTGCTGCGCATGCGCTGCGCGCCCAGGACCGGCACCGCGCATTCGCTGTGTGCCCGGGGCAGGGCTGGCCCCGAGCACTTGGTGGGCGCACGTAAATGCCCCAGCGGGCGCCATGGTACCCACGGGCACCACGTTGGGGACCACTGTACTAGATAGAATAAGGCACTCGCAAATAGTTTTATAAGTTCCTCTTTGTCAGGCAGAAACTTATTGGGGGAATTTTAGTAAAACAGACGTATAAAGGGGTCTTTGTCAGTGTTCCCTCTCATCCTGACAGTCTTATTATTCCTTTGAAACACTGTTCTCTCTTAATTAACTAATTGTTGTTCTTCTCTAAGAACCCTGTTTAACTGATTGTTTCTTTTGTGTTAGCTCCTGCTGTCACTAGGTTTCTTCATTTATCTCTAGTTCTTAAACTATGGATTGTTATTTACTTTCTTTGTTTCAGATCTTTTTATTTATTTGGGCACTTATCAATACTGCTTTTGATTACCATATGTCAGTTTAGCCTGAAATTAAGATTTTAAGGTTATTTGAAATGATCTTATCATCCTTTGTGCTTCTCTAGCACCTTCCTTCAAAACTCTTCAGAATTCTTTGCAAACATGAATTAAACCTCCCAATATGAGGAAGTGGAATATCATCCTTATTTCACGGATGGGAGAAATTGAACATATAGGCTGCGTCTAGACTGGCATGATTTTCCGGAAATGCTTTTAACGGAAAAGTTTTCCGTTAAAAGCATTTTCGGAACACAGCGTCTAGATTGGCATGGATGCTTTTCCGCAAAAGCACTTTTTGCGGAAAAGCATCTGTGCCGATCTAGACACGCTTTTCCGCAAAAAAGCCCCGATCGCCATTTTCGTGATCGGGGCTTTTTTGCGCAAAACAAATCTGAGCTGTCTACACTGGCCCTTTTGCCTGAATGGGAGCAGAATAGTATTTCTGCAAGAAGCACTGATTTCTTACAGTAGGAAGTCAGTGCTTTTGCGAAAATTCAAGTGGCCAGTGTAGACTGCTGGCAAGTTTTTCCGGAAAAACTGGCCAGTCCGGACACAGCCACAGGCTACGTCTAGATAGGCATGATTTTCCACAAATGCTTTTAATGGAAAAGTTTTCTGTTAAAAGCATTTGCGGAAAAGAGCGTCTAGATTGGCACGGATGCTTTTCCGCAAAAGCGCTTTTTGCGGAAAAGCGTCTGTGCCGATCTAGACACGCTTTTCCGCAAAAAAGCCCCGATCGCCATTTTCGTGATCGGGGCTTTTTTGCGCAAAACAAATCTGAGCTGTCTACACTGGCCCTTTTGCACAAAAGGACTTTTGCCCGAATGGGAGCAGCATAGTATTTCCGCAATAAGCACTGATTTCTTACAGTAGGAAGTCAGTGCTTTTGCGAAAATTCAAGTGGCCAGTGTAGACTGCTGGCATTGCCCACAGCAGGTGCGTCTGACACAGCCATAGAGGTTAGGTTCAACATTTTAAACAGTGATCTCTGCCCCTGGGCCTCTCAGTTGAGGTTGGTGGGATATGTGGGTATTCATCTGTTCTGAAATTAGGCTTGAAGAATCTCAATCTGAGCACCCAAAACCAGAAACTGCTTTTGAAAATTTAGTCCTAAGCAACTTGCCTAGATTACACAGAATTCAGGGTCAGAGAATAGAAGCTAAATCTCCTGATTCCCAGTCCTTTTATCAAGCACAAGACCCATCT